GAACAGCGTTTATGGAAAGCTTAGCCCCGACTTTTCTCAGACTCATGGATGTACGAAACTTACTTAGAATGTTGACCCTCTGCACACCTTCTTAAAAAAAGTCATGAGGCACGATAATCTGGTCCTTCCCCGAAATAGTAGCAGAGGTGCTATATAGTGTAGAAATAGAAAAAAGCAAATCGCCTTCAGATTGTCACTTCGATCCAGAAGGTTGTATGTTGGCGCACTCCCCATAGAGGGCGCAATCGCCTCAAAGCTTTCATAACCTCGCTACTTGTAGTTGTATGGCGCGCTCGGCTACAGCAGTTCGGCTCGTAAAATGTACGGAATGCGTATTCAGCAAAGCCTGTAAGAAAATTTCTTTCTTGTTTGCTTGGGCGAACACTAAAGGTAAAGGAGTGTCAGTGGGCTGGGTTTCGGGCGGCACTGAGCCGTTTTCCACCAATCCCACAATGTTGGCTTACCCGCTTCGGCAATCTAGAAAATGGGTGGGCTGGTGCCGCGCCCAACACCGTGACAAGTCTCGCTGTCCAGCGAACAAGACTATATGGCTACGATATGACCTTTTCCACAAGGTAATTCAGGGATTTGCACAACTGTCATTCATCATCGTTTTTCTCGAGCCATGAAGGAGTTCAAATTACTTTCGGAACAACCTGCTGGGGTATGATTTATGATTACAGTAAGATCGGTGGACTATGCGACACTGAGTCGTACAAAGGGTAAAAATAAAGTTCCCGCCGTTGATCAATCATTTATGGGATGCGGCACGCATTCTACTTCCATTCAGAATCGTAGTGGCTTATTGAATGCGATGTGGCCTATACAATGACTTGCGGGGGCCCAGCCGATGTACAAGTCAGTGTTATCCTCCCAGACGAATCTGTACCAAGTTACAGGGTAGAAGGCCTGGTTGGCGTCGGCAGGAGTCGACCCTGTTGTACCCAGCGCCGCGTGAGTGGTAAAGGCGCCACTTGTCCGTACACCGCCTCCGCCTCACTGAGTATTGAGTCATTCAGGCAACTATTTTACATTCAAAACAGAGTATGCTGTTACAAATAGAAGGTAGCGGGATTGAAATGCGCATGATATGGTTATGAGTATTTCACCAGCTGAGAAAAAGGAAGACAGGACGTCTCAAGCGCTCTGAACAAAACCGTTGGCAGTTCTAGCTAAAAGTATTACAAGCAGTGAAGGCAAGCAGAGGCGGTGTAGCGACGAGTGACTCGTCCCGTATAGGTTCCCCCCCCCTCTCGGAACTTTGGGAACGGTCAGTTAGGACCGAATTCGCCTTGATTCGAAGAAAAATATGGAATTGTACATGGGCTGACCCCGGCAAAACATTGTATATGCCACAGCATTCAATAAGTCACTGCGATTTTTGCTAGGAGTGAAATTCGTGTCGCGTCCCGAAAAGTCTCTGAACCAGTAGTTCAGCGAAGAGTTGGGCAGTAAATTATGATTCGTACAGACTTGTTTACTGATAACTACCAACGAAGAAATAGTAACTTCTTTGAAAAAAGAGTCGAGTTTGGTGCTCAGGGCACCTCCCGTCGTCGGGGGAAAAACCTCAGTTAGCAACGCATGAAACAGGAGCATCCAGAAAAAAACCAGAAAAAGTTCTGCAGGCCGAACGCGTACTTCGTAGGGGATTCTATACTTGCGACGTAACCTAGTGGTACAAGACTCTCTTACCGCCCCGATTCACATTTTAGCAACGCCGTCCCTCTGGCCCACCTTCACTGTGATAGCTTAGTAAACACTCCGCACAGAGTGAATGTTGAAGAAAAAATGGGAAAAGGGAAGTGCAAGGTAGCCTGCGAAATGCTCAAAATAACGAGCTATTGACGAGAATGCCATCTAATAGAGGGGGTTCTTTGCAATTCCTGACTGCAATAACGTCCGTTTAATGAGCTTCCCGAAGAAATTGAATGCAATTATAGTGAAATGGAATATTACCATAATGGATGATGGGTACGAAGAACAGAGTGAGCGACCTTTCATCTGAAAGGGAGTGCTTCTATTCTCTGAAAACTTCCGCGAACCAGTAATCCCGCATATTTGGAAATGCTGATTGCCTTTTTTTCAAGGTTTCAACTGCAGCTATAATACCAGCGTTCTCTTCGGAAGATTCGAAGCAGCAGAAACCAACTCGTTCACTGCCCTACGCCGTGGATAATTAAGTCAGATTTTCATCGAAATTTCCCCGTAGGAAAAAATTGGCCCGAATTTTGCTACCGGAGGTAGTTTGACCTTTCGAACATGGATATCCATCCTCTCTATATATAAAGCAGAATTTGTCTGTGCGTGTGTGTGTGTGTGTGTGTTTGTATGCTTGCGTGTTCGCCCGAAAAGTCAGAACTACGTGAAAAATGACATTGAGAGACCAGGTCGACTTCAGAATGGGGGGGGGGGGCACAGGCCAAAATTTACCGAACACTCAGAATCGAAGGTAAGCCCGCCCATAGTGGGCGGAGCGTGCACTGAAGTGGGCGGCGCCTAAGATGGGCGGTGCAAGGCCCAAGAATCTATAACTCTAATGATAAGGAATCCACTTCCGAATGAGGAGGAAGGGCACAGACCAAAACGTACCGAGTACCTAGCATTTAAATTAAGCCCCGCCCACAATGGGCGGGGCGTGCACTGAAGTGGGCGGCGCCTGGGATAAAAATTTGCAAAAAGCCTCCAGAAGACCCCAGAAACGGGGAATAATAGTGTTATGGTTAGCATCAGGTGGCAGACCAAGCAAGACAAAATATTGTGAGTGATAGGGCGGGGAGAGCCCGATCCCCTCTATATATAAAGCAGAATATATATAAACCAGCAGTTGTTGTGTGTGTGTGTGTGTGTGTGTGTGTGTGTGTGTGTGTGTGTGTGCGTCTGTCTGACCACTTGAAATTGGGGTTTCGTGGAATTCACTTCAAGAGACCCGTTTGTGCTTAGAATAGACCTGGCATGGGCCAGCATTTGCAGAGCACACAAAGCCTCACCTGAGCTCCGCCCACAATGGGCGGGGAAGTGGAAGAAGCCGAGAATAAAAATCCCCAAAATGCATCCGGAGACCACGAAAGGGGGGAAAATGAGTGAAACTGAGCAGCGGGTAGCTAGACGAATGGGAGAGACAGAGAGAGATGTCCCTCAGACCCCTGTTCATTCGGCAAGTCCTTAACACTAAGGAATGCCAGGGACCCTCTTCACACGCGGAAGGAGGATCGCCCGCCGAAGGCGGGCGATCCGACTGGGCCTCAGTAGGAATGCCAGGGATCCGACTGGTGTGTATAAAAAGAAAAAATGCAGCGTCACGAGTAGCGTTTTTTGACTAGTAGTGTATGTACCACGCGTTTTCGATCCTACACCTGAAAAAAATAATAGCTCATAAATGCCCGACCGCTGCGGATGTTGCGACCGATTTCCTGACCCTTACTTTGCATGCTACTGGGTGGACCTCGCTCACACTCGTGTAGTCTCTTATTCGCATACACAGCGTCTCTGCGTCTCTAATCCTCGTCCAATGACTACAGTGAACCGGGCTATGATCGGGCGTTTTCAGCGATTTTCTTTGTCCTTTTCTACCTCAATGAATCGTGTAGCACCTTCTGGTTCATATTTGTACCCCACCAACCACGGTATGCAACCAAAATTTGTCCTTAAATCCGGCAAAAAGGTAAAGATTCCTGATGGGATTCTGCAGTGACTCATCCATAACAGCAATTCCGCCCATAATCATTCGAAGCGTCGACTGAACTTGACGTGAAGAGCCTCATGGAAACCACGAAATGAACTCGAAATGAGGCCGCGCGCAGTTTGTAACTAACTACCTGTAATCACTGGAAGGTCACTTCAGTAGTGACAAAAAGACAAACGACAAAATGGCTTCCGTTAAGGGGTAATTGTCTTGAAAAAACCTCTTCAACCTCTTGTTCGGGCAATTCATACATAAACAACCTGGCCTAGAATGCCTAGCCTGGCACCCAAATGGGTAAGGTACCGAACGATAACAGAGAACATTGCGGGGATGTGTTACGTGGCGACATAACCCCATTTCGCATTCCGCCTCTACGATCCCCGAAATTCCGCTTTTACCAAATTATTTGAAGATGTTGTGTTCAACAGGGGTCGCGCAAAGATTGTCCATACCTCGAAGATGGAGAGGGCGTGGCTCGGTCTTTCTTCCGATGCGTTTTTTGTGGGATATGTCCATTTAGGCAATTATCATCATGTCTTGTGCAGAACAGTCTCAGAACTGCAGCAATCCTCCAAAAGTGCTTGTTCGAATCAAGTTCGCAAACACTCCCCCTCCCCTCGTCTCGGAGATAGACTGTACAGAACTCTTCAAACTACTTCGAAAGCAGAGTTCGGCTCAGAGGGGGGAGGGGGCATTTCACTGGCTCCCTACCAGCCTCCGGCCGTAAAATCCTGTAAAGCTATGCATAGCATAAGCTCCGTTCATTTACAAGAGTCTACAGGTCCCATCAGAGCGTCCCCCCCCCTCCAAGCCGCACTATGCCCATTGCAGGTACCCAAAAACGACGGTTAGGTCGAAACGTCGTTCATTAAACAGCTCTATGTTGACAAACTATTTAGAGCATAAGAAAACACAAGGAGAAACAGCTGATTTATTCTTACAAAAATAATTTTACAATCTCTCGGTCCAATCGATTGATCCATAGATACACGATTACTTGGGAGCTCCTACTGTAAAACATCGATAAATACGAGTGGGTGAAATTATCACCCAACAAAAGTACATGTTGTCCTGAGATTTACATAAAATCAGCTGATCACAGCCACGAGCTTTGCTAGGATAAATAATCACCGCTAATGGGATACGAACCACGTAATGAAAGAATCGTAACAAAAAAAGGTGAAAATTGTACTCGAAAGTTCACGGGGACCGAACACGGGGATGGAGAGAATTTCATAAAACCTAAATACTATATCTAACGCTACTCGAAAGCATAGAGGAACCGAGATAGTCGTGGGGCTAGTGCTTCTGCCGTTTAATCCTGTGAAACTGGCACTTTATGTACAAGTTGACCAGAACCAATCCGTCTCCATAGCTCTGACTTCAGCAGGTCCTGAAAACCCAACAGGAATTAGAAGTACCGAAAAGGTCAAGAGTAGTTGACAAATGTGTGACTTATGAGTTTTAAGATTCTGGGTGAGAAAAACAGAAGTCTCCTGAATATTAGAGTAGTCAGGAGGACAACGAAAAGCAAAGTGCCCCCTCCAAGCCGAAATGCGCCGAATTGTATTTTCTTTAAATGTCATTATCAATTTGACAGAATTACCTTTTCCTTAGTCGCCTTCTTTATAATGCTGCTATTCTCGATGGCTCTTCGAGAAAGGTACGGCAGCACTTTTTCGACAGGACCATAAGGCAGGTACTTGTACACAGAGTATCCTGCTTGACCGAGTGAAAATGAGACCTGAAAAGATTTTGCAGATTAGTTCCATTAGTGGTTCTCACATTGTATCCTTGACAGCCTTAGATCCGGAGTTGAAGGTGCATTCCGCGCTAGTCGCATGGGCGGGGCCGGGTCTACCGTTATGCACCTTCAGCGTCCTCCCGATTTTGAAAGGGCCCAGTGGCAGGCTCAGCTATGCGTATACGACGAACGCGCAAAGTGCATAGAGTGATTTAACGGATAATTTCCATAAATCTTCTTTACATTGAGAAACGTGGGGTCCACAAAGTAACTTTTTCACTTCACCTCAACAGCGAAATCGATCCTACACATGAAAGATGCGGCAATGTGGGGGTCAGCCAATGCGCTATCTTTGCAGCGAGGCTATATTGTCCTATCCTTGCACGTCCTGCCGCTGGGACCTAATTATTCCAAATTTCGCTAGTCTTCTGCCTCAGAACTTTCTCCCATCCACATCCCCCTACCCTCACTACCATCTTCTTGAATTTTCTCAACTTTTCACCATTTTTACGAAGTTGTTAATGGAATTTGCTAACTTTGTCCCAAAAAAATTTTGAAAAAAGTTTGCTGCTTGAAGGGATGGAGATAGGGCACTTTATGCGCGCTTCATAAGGAGAAAGGGAGAGGAGTCACGAACTGAAAACATTTTTCTCAGGTCAAAACACGTGAAAACATTTTTCTCAGGTAAACACGTCCCTCTCCCTCCAGCGACCAAGTACGATCTCTTCTAGCTGGGAATCCCCAATCTACGACCTGTCCTGTTCCTATCGATTCCATGGAAACAGACCTGATCACACATTCCATAGAGTTGTGCGAAGCACATAATTCTTTCGCTAGGAGCGATTCCATGGTCCTTCATGAGGTTGACAGCAAATCTGAAACCATGAAAATCGTGCCTGTTTAAAATCGTGCTGTTACCAACCAACTACGGTATATCCTACCTGACACTGTCCTCGTTGTGACTGGCAATCATGACGGAAACGGCGCCTTTTCCGCGACGCACATTCTCTTCAGCTACTCGTTTCAAACAAGCGTGGTACATGTTTGTAGTCGCCTGGAATCAGTGATGTTTCGTATGAAGGCAGGTTCTGCTCGGTTCCGAGTGCTCAAGCTGTGTTCACATTTGGAAATGGGAGTGCTACTCCTGTCTACACTGAAAGGAAAGAATGACCGCGAAGAGTACAAAGAGAGACCCAAAGGTTAGGCAAACTGAGTGCTCATAATTCGAACCAGTCGCATACTGAAACCAGGGTTCAGTCGCCTTATTCGCCCGGCTTACAGCTGCGCGATTTCAGCTGTTCCGGCAGTTTGAAGACACAGCTCAGAGAAAATGCTATGGTGACCAAAACTGGAATCAAAAAGCCACTATTCCGCACATGTTAAAAAAAAAAACAAAGTCGCCTGGGGTCCATTACAGTTGCTGGACCATGGGAACGAGTCATACAAGAAAGCAGAACCTACTTGACGTTGAACCAAAAATATTTTTTTATCCCTATTGGTCTTCGTTTTATTTGATTGAAACCTATCACGCTTTCAAATGAAACGACCTCATAGTATACGTGACAACTGCTAACCATAAGGCTTATCCTCACCTCAAAGTCTGGATTGATAGGATCCGGGTAGCCGATAGTGGCTGCTCGTTTCCGCTCCTGAAAATTACATTTGTAGTTCGGAACACTTGTAGGGCACTGAGAGGAGTTACGCTCAAGGGTCAAGTTCTTCTTGATAATTAGCGTTTACAGCTTAAAAATCGTGTGGCTTTCACAAATCTAGCTGCTGACAAAAATTAGGCTGCGTTTATACTTTGCGGCAGCGTAGCGTAGCGCTTCCAGCGTACGCCAGCGGCAGTGCCGAAGAGAGGATGCATATCGATCTGTTCCCAGCGTCACCAGCGTAACGTTACGCCAGCGTTTCTCCAGCGTTTCACCAGCGTTTTGCTAGCGTTTGCAGCGGCAGGGGAGTAGAGACTATGGGAGAGCTGGAGGGTACAAACAGGGGTACAGCATGGGGATGTGTCAAATGGCGGTGTGGGTACGACCCCCCCCCCACTCTGCTCTAAAATACAGGAAATAAAAGGCTGTTTCAGCCTCATGCAACAACAACAGCCTCGCATTACCTACAATTTTGTCTTAGGATTCAAAATAAAACTCCTCGTTCGATAACTATGTATGACATGCAACTTGTAACAAGGAACACTTTGTACTGTTTGATGCCTAGCGAGCCTACTTTTGCGATACTCCCCACGTCCCCCGCGGCCAAGTACGAACCCATTCTTGGGGATTTCCCATGAAAAGAGGGCTGTTAAACGTAGCATTTAAAGCTGTAAAGAATACACTCATAATAAACTTCATTTTTTTAAACATCTTGACTTCCATAGCTCCACTCCCACTATCAACTGAAATGTCGAACCATTGCTCGGCTCTGAGTGACCCTTGAGATTACGACCCCCCCCCTCTCCATCGGCCAGGTACGACCCCCCCCCATGGGTTTGGCACAACGATGCTGTACCCTGGGTACAAAACACATCGATTGCGCGTCTCTTACACGCCGATTCCGCGTCTCTTACGGCCACATAGTCTCTACTCCCCTGCCGCTGCAAACGCCAGCAAAACGCTGGTGAAACGCTGGAGAAACGCTGGCGTACGCTAGCGTTACGCTGGTGACGCTGGGAGCGCTAGATCGATATCCATCCTCTCCCCGGCACTGCCGCTGGCGTACGCTGGAAGCGCTACGCTACGCTGCCGCAAAGTATAAACGCAGCCTAAGGGCATGTGGAGCGCCTCTGGTCCGTGTAATCACAGACTGTTCCTCCAGTTCTCTATGGAGAGAACTTTCCATCATGGAGGCGCCCAATAACTTCCATAGCAAAGCAGCGGAGTAAGCCTCGGCACTCGACCCCTATTCCCCAGACGAAGTTTGGGCCGCATTTCTATCAGAACCTCAATCGTTGATTTTGCTAGGGAACGATGATTGTCCCGAGAGGAGGAGACGGGGGTTAGTCTAAAGGGAGGGGGTGTGGTCCAACCAACTGCGGGCGATTAACACATCAGAGTCGGGCGGAATCAATGGATGTCCGTGTTCATATGAAAATTGGGTGCCCAGGGCTGTGGCGCCGGTGCAGACGTTTTCGCTCCAGAAGCCTGGCGCCTATGCCACAACCCTACTAACAGAAGTCACATTCGTTTCAAAGAGCAGCTCCAGCGAATGTCTTGGTGAATTGAGGTTTTGACCAAAACGTCGAGAGCTGGATACGACCCTGCCCCCAGTGCAAGAATACAAACGCTATGAAACCAGAAAAACCATCTATAAAAAAATCCTCAGACCTAGTACGACCTCCTCCCTCCAGCGACCAAATAAGACCTCTATTGGACTCCCAGCATACGGTGCATCTTGATTAGTCTACAAAAACCTACCTGCTCCATATAAGCCCCTCTGACTAGCTTCAAACCAAAATGCCATCCTTCTCTTTCTGCCAGCTGCATGTCACATTCCAAGCAATCCAACGCATTTCGAAGATAGGCCTGATACGTGTTAAAAATGTTTCCACGCTCTCGGTTGTACCTAAAATGAATGAACGACTGCAGACAAATTATGAATAGGAACGAAAGGGGATTTTCAATTTTCAAAAGCGGAAAAATGAGCGCCACACACCCCACATTAGTTGTGCGTGGCAGAGAGCCAAGCGTTTTTTAAACGGTGTGCTGCTCACATCTGAAATAAGAAAAGGGGCGCCCTCATCAGGGACACACAAGATCGGGACTGTGGGCAACAATAAGTCTCTGAAGAATGATTCATATAAATACATACGCTGGGGACAAAAACGACATGTTGCATACGACGCTGACCATCAATGTTCACGTTGCGGGGGTAACGAGGTACACTCGAGATCCCTGAGATCGGGTAGGCGTGGCCGCATTTTTCAACTTACCCTCAAGGCGTCTACGCTTCTGATGCGATATTTTCATCTCCACACAATCGTTGTCGTGTCTCTGTCCAATACAGAACAAGATGACAGTTGTCCCAGACTGGAATATTCCACCAGTAACCAGTTCCTTACAGTGTTCGAATGCTCCGCCTACCCGATCTCAGGGATTTCGAGTATACTTGAAAGAAATCCCTATCTTTCACAGCCGTACATTCCTCCTTACCTAATTCTCACAAAGTTTGACGCCGAGCTGGGAGGCGGACGGCGCGAGGAGGGCGGCATATAAGGAACGTGAAATGGAAAAAAAATCAGCGATCAGGAAAGTTCAGCTTAATCATCCGTAGGTACTGATTTTGGTATTGAAACCAAATACGACCTGGGATTCCACGCTTCGGTTTCAGGCATACTGAATTTGATCAGAAAAGAAGAAAAAGAAGCTAATGACGCTCAAAGTTGCCAGAAAGTGCAATATTCTCATTTATTGCCCCAAATACGAAATATTAAAATAGAAACGAAAAGAAAATAGAAAAAGCAAAAGAAACCACAGGCGCAGTTTGGCTTCTGGGGAGGGGAGACTGTACAGCTGATAACTGTCAGCTCTTGTAGAGCAACGAGCGTATCGATGGGAAGTAGCGAAAGTGCAATATGCCCTCCCCAAAGCCGAAATAGCCAACGACATCCTTTCATACCTTCTCATCATCTCCAGTGTAATCCTTGAGATGGCTGGTTGGAAGTAGGTCTGTTCAGCATCAATCATTAATCGAACTCCTTTATTGATAGAGTGCTCGGCAATGTCGATCAGGCGACGAACCATATTTTTGAACTAAAAATCTCTCAAATTAGATAACTTTGAACTTATCGATTAATCTGTCCAATGCAACAGTTAGTCCCCCTTTTTCAGCTACTGCCATACAGGCAAGGGTGGCCTGGGTACAATGTGTTTCGGCCTCCCACTAGTGATAGTGGAGCTAGCCACGTCCTTTAGCCAACGCTCCGACATTTTTTCGAATTAATTTTGGAACGTTAACCATGAGAAAATATAAGGAACACCGAATGGATAAAGCATCTAAACTCTTAGATCTTTCTAATAGAATAGGGGACAGTTAGGCCTAGGTGAGTTGGGGGGGGGCATTTTTCATTTTCGCTACTTCCCATTGACGTGTCATCGCTTTACAAGAGTTGATAAGTGGTCTCTACAATTTTTGCCAGCTACCACTTCATGTCTTCACAAGATTTCACGGGTCTCCACACGATGGCTCGAATCGTCGATGGGAAGTAACGAAAATGCGATACCCCCTAAGCCGAACCGAGTCCAAAATAAATCTATTATTTTTTTGCACTGTAAGACCGAGCGGAAACACAAACCTCTTGTTCTTCATCAGCTGTTAGGTTCTGGATCAGTGGTTCCAACTGGCCTGTTTTGATGTTGAGAATCTGGAAAATTAAGGGGTAGTTAACAGTGACAACAATGGAGTTAAAGACCCACTTTAAACATGTTTCCAAGTTTGATATGATCGTCAAGAATCCTGCTCCAGCCGTGGAAATCCATATAGCCATCACCATCAAAATCAACGCTCTTGAACCAATCTCGAATCTGCTTCGAATCCGCTTTGACGCCCAAGTCCTTAATCGATGTGAGCCGATTGAAACAAGTTCGTAAAACATGAGACTTTTGTGAAAACATCCTTTCAGACCCTTTGAGGCTTAATTCGAAAGGTCCGAAAAAACGCGAAAAAATGTAAAAATTCTGAAAACGAGACTCGCTTGAAGCTTTTTGACGAGATCTTCCTCACTGAGACGAGAGAACTGAATCTTCTGCGTACCGGTCAATGTTTTGAAAAAGTTGTGGGTTTGAGCAATTGATTCTGCAAGTCAAACAATTTGTTGGAAGGCACACTTACGTTCACTTCACTATCTCTCATAGTATTAGGTTGTTCGAAAAGTCCTGCGCATGAGTATCAAAGCTCTGAACTGTGAAAACCAAACCGGAAACAGACTTTTTTTGCTCAAAGTCTCAAATCATAGCGCGCGGCGAATTTGACTACGTCCCGCCCATCAGATAAGTTCACAACCTCGCAAACATCCTTTTTGCCAGGCTGCAGTCTTGTTCGCAGCGGATGACGGGCGCGGAAAGGGAGATTGGCACGGCACCAGCCCAATTTTTCCTTTTTCTAGGCGAGCGAACGGCACTATGTCATATCGCTCGAGTCAGTCGTTTTCCAACGCTAATCTTCTTCAACTACTGTTGCAGAATGGACTAGCGGCCCTGCCAACGGCGCAAGCCCCACTGACACGCTCATTCGAGCTGACAGACTATGATAGACGCTGGCAAAGCTCTCGTGTTCATACTACTCCTACCTGAAAAGTTTCAACAAAGCGTCGGGCCTCCCTAGGAGCGGGGTTTAAAAAAAAAAACCCTTTTTTTTTTATGCGGCGAAGCCTTCGCCCTGAGTCAACCTTGCCTCACGGCAGTCGAACAGTTCTCTTTGAAAATGGTCGCGATTTGCGGTCCACACACTTCATTCTCCCATCGTAGAAATACGTCCCTGAAAATACCAATTTCCGAAGCATAAGACAAGGACGCCTTTCGAGTACTAATGTGAATAATGTTAGATAGCGGACGAAGGCCACTACCGAGAAACATAGTCATCTCACCGTCTTGCGCGCGAACTAGACGGTTTTTTTCACTGTGGTTGCGACTCAGTATGGCATCAGCTTGTGCACAGCACTTGGTGACGTCGAAAAAACCCCCCAGTTGCAGCAGAAGGGCAGCTCGGTGAGGGGAAGGGGGAACAATTATGCATTCCTCGCTACATGTTCATTGCTTCAGATGTGTTGACGTAACCTTTAAAACGTTGACAAGCAGTTTCCTTGATACTTAGACGCTTGGGGGAGGGCATTTAGCACCTTAGTTCCTTTTGCTAGCACTCCTTAGTGATCCTGTGGACTCTTGTCAAGTATAGAAAAGCTCCTGCTAGTAGTTAGTTTCACAGGAATTGAGAGGTCCTCCAAGAAGGCATCGGCAGTGGTCGATGAAACCAGCAAGAACGCCCCCCCCCTACCACCGAAGCTGAAGCCACCGTGTATCTCGGCCATGATTGCCTGGCTCTCTTTGACTAAATAGAATAGTCATCCGTATTGAATACAGCTCACGACAAGTAGGTACATATCCACTAAACCTTGGAACGGTTGAGCTGTCAGGCAGCAAGTGTAATGAACCATTGGATCTGCAATCTACAGTCCTCATCATTGCGGACTGTCGGGGTGGCTGAGCCGCGCTGCACTGTGACGCGACAGCGGCTGCGGCTCGATGACGGCGAATCAGCTGATTTCGATGGAATTCGGCTGCGAATTCCCACTTTTTCAGCTCTTTAAGCTTCGTAAGCGGAAGGTGAGTCATTTTGAACGGATTCAAATTATACTGGCTTTCAATTGTGCTAGTTTTCTTTATTTTTATGTATATTACTATACTCTTTCCCTTGTAACATTTTGGCCTTAATTTCTAGGCATCTATTCAACTGCATTGGCTTGCATTCTTTCAGATTCGTTCAGAGCCGTACAATTTAAAATTGTTCAAAACTCATACCATACTCATAACTCACCTTCCACTTTCGAAGCTTTAAGAGCTTAAAAAAGTGGGAATTCGCAGCCGAATTCCATGGAAATCAGCTGATTCGCCGTCACCGAGCCGCTGTCGCATCACAGTGCAGCGCGGCTCAGCCGCCCTGACAGCCGCAATGATGATGGAGCTGGGGTATGTGGGGTGCAGGGAAACCGAGTTTACCGACGCTGCACGATACATTCTCATCCAGTTGGCTCGCTTCATCGTAGCACCTTCACGTCAAATCAGTGAGGTTCCGGTCCAAATGTCACGCACGCGACGCAAACTGCAAGGGTGTTTTTAACGGAAATCGGATGTCTTGGGCAAAGCCCTTCCCTTTGACATTGTGCAATGGTTAGTACCTAGAGCTAACAGTTAAACAGTAGTATCTACATATCCAATTCAGCATCACGGCTATAGCGATTCGAGTATCCACATTGTTCGCTGAAATTACAGCTCATTAAAGTGTCCACGAATAAGTATCCCACTAACCTGGCACTCACAACATCTTTTCTGCGATCAGCGAACTCTTCATGAACAGCGTACTGTTGCTGGGTATCCTGCAGGAATTTTCGGATCGATACGATTTTTTATAGCCTGAAAAATCTGTCGTATTACCAGCTTTTTTTTTCTGAAGACATAAAGCTTCCTGTTTTGAATATGAAACAACAAATCGGAGGCCGGATCTCGAAATATTCATCATTGACTGTGAGGCTCAAAAGCTCTTTGAGGATTAGCTCAGCATCAAATCTGAGCCCTGTCGGAAGGGGCATGTTACACTTGCGCTACTTTCTTTTGCAGGATTCTGTTAAGACTCACTCTGTAGGACTTGTGCACTCTTGTTGTAGACAGCCACCACGCTCAAGCAGTTCGTAGGTGGCCCTCGTAAGTGGCAATTGTGACGCCTCCCCCACAGCACCGAGATGCGAATGCTAATTTCTTTCACGAGTTCACCAGATCCCACTGGATGACGCCAAAAAATTATCTAGATGGCCAAGGGGAGGGGGGGGGGGGGCGTGGGAAAGGATATCGCATTGTTGGTGTATAAACAAGCAAGTCCAGACAAACTCGTAGCAGTGATAGCTGCCAGGGGTCTATGGTTTTCAATTGAATTTTTTTTTCTTTTCTCCTACTGCTGAGACAATTAGCGCCATAAGATTCGTGATGGGTACCACTATGCCCACAACGGGCGGGAGGGGGAATACAAGTCTAAACGAAGCTAATGCCATCGCATAGCTTCACGGAAATTCACTGGTTTCTGCTGGAATCATCGGCAGTGATTGGTGGAACTCAGCAAATGCCCCCACCTAGCCGAACTGCACTGATCTGTTAAACTTATAAACTCAAGACCATTGTCATTGTAACCGATACTGTTTTCTAAATATTCGTGGCTAAAGTGGTCCTTGCTTCACCATGTAGCCAAGAATATCGAACGGGAGGATGCGAGAACCCTGAATGCTCATTTGACGGGCGGGCCAGACTCTAAGCGAAGCGCTACAATTGGTGCCTTCCCATCCTAGTGCGCCCCTTCCCTGCAATTTCAGTGGTTCAGAATAACCTAGCGCGCCAATGAACAACACACTGAGAAAGGCCCGACTCCGCCCACACGGCCTGCATGAACTGTGCCCTTGATTAACGCTCCCAACTTTCCTACAGAATTCAATATATTGTCATTTTAATGCCTTTGAAAGCCTTCGTACCTTGACGACTACCTTCATAACTTCAATCATTTTTTCCAAAAGCCATATTAACACGTATTTTGATAATTCTATTGACAGTAATAATATCTTCCTTTCAAGTGATGCATCACGGAAACGAGTTTCCAAAGTCTCAGGAAAACGTGAAAGATAGTGCTGTGAATTGAAACGACCTGTATTTTCATGAACACACATAGCAAAAATACGTTGACAAGAGTAAAAGAAGAAAGTGTGAAAACTGTGCAGAAATGAGAGCAATAACAGAAAAGCACGTACTGCAGGAGCAACTTCAGCTGCCAGTTGAGATGATTTCGCTGTTTGCACTGCCTGTTCACTACTCAAATCGGATTCAACTGAATAGTCAAGAATCGATTTTACACCATATCGCTTCAATCGTGCTACGACGGGTTCCACCTGAAATAGGCACAACAAGATCAACATGGTCGAAAAGCTGCTGAGTATGCACAGAGCAGCAACTCCGCCCCGCTATGGACGTGTCAGCTGTGGCGAGGCTGACAGCAAGATCAGTTTTCTGACATCGCCGAACATTTTGACTTGAGTGGCATAATCAATCTTACAGAGCACGACGTGCCGGTGGGGAATAGGCTTGCAAAATACGACCCCTTCGAATTTCCTCTTCTGGTTCGACCCCCCTTTTTCCTCCGTTTCTCAATTATAGCTTACAGTTTCCGGCTTTTCCTCGTCACTTTTCGAACCCCTCCTCCCCCGAAAATGAATGAAAACTGGAGGATGCAAACTCAAAAAGAACAATCGAAGGGATTATTCTCAAAAGTGGATACGATCCCCTCCCTTCACAGACCAAATACGACCCCCCTCACTGGGGATCCTCAATGTACGATGTGCCCTGATATCCGCATTTTCACCCACCGATGGGATCAGGCTGTATGGTGCGATCTCGTCCCCTTTCCAATCAAGACGGTGACATGTTCCCCGGATCGGATGACTCGTCCGGATTATATGTCACTCAGTTTCCTCCTACAAACACATGAGGTCGTTGGCGTTTGCTTCAAAGCTCTTGCATCTCAAGCAGGTCATCTCCCTTGATATGTCTATGCGTGTGTGTGTGTGAGTGTGGTGTGTGTGTGTGTGTGTGTGTTGAGATCCCCATGTGACAAGACAATTGTTAGATCCGCGCAGGGGTGGTGAGCGACGCCGCGCACACGAAGGACGAGTTGTCCTGCCGGCGGCCGTTCGATCCAAATATCAAAAAGATGGGCAAAATCTTTTGAATTTCCCTGATCGCTGTTGCACCAAGCGACAATCTGATGCACATCCAGCAGCACCTACAGCACACTTCCACTCAAGTAACGCCACACGCGACAGCGCAGCGATCACGATGGTCTTTTTTTCTCCCAAATCCAGACAAAACAGTGGACAACAAAACCTCTTCAGCGCGCTTTCACGCCGGCACGTAACTGACGCAAAGAATGTGGCCTTTGAGAAATCTTCTTGAAACAAAGACTTGCCCAAGCGTAGCTCTAGGATGAGGAATCTATCTGATTGTTACTTCCACAATGGGAAGTCGATACCGGGCATAATCGAGAGGCAGCTGAGGGTAAGCCTCGAGATAATGTCTGTGTTCGATTTGCTCTGAAAAAATTAGTATTTAGGCAGAAGATGGAAGAAGGCTAGTGGCCGGGAGATCCGTGTGGCGGCGACGCGGTGTCCAGACTAAAATCACGAGCGTGGCATCGTCTGGACCTAACTGATTCAACAAGGAAGTGTTACAGCTTATGAAGTCACTGGTGTAATTGATGTGGACTATCTTAGAGCGATGGTGACTCGTATTTCCGGTCAAAAATCAGCTAGGACCTGATACCTAGGCAGTTGTAGTGCAGTCGCCCACTATAGAAGCTCCGCGATCCCTTAGAAGGGGAACTGCTCCCGAATCAACTTTGGCGCAACAAATTACAAATAGTAGTCTCCCAAACACCACTGAAAATGAAAGAAAACGACAGAAGTTTTCTTTCTTTCTTCGTTCTACCCCTTGAGAACACAATCATGTTTTCAATAGCTGCCGCGCTTTTTCTCATGTTGACATTCTCACATGACGAGCGGAAAACCTAACAAAACACTCCGAAGAGAACGAGAGTTCACAATCATATGCACTACGCTTCAGCTGAAAAATTATTGAGAAAAAGGTTTCTAGAATAACACTCCTTCAGCTTCTTACCAAAAAAAACCCATATTATCGTAGGTGAGATTGGAGAGTGAGTAGGCGCAAATGGCTTTGGTTACACCCACAAACGACGGTCTTGAAGGTGAAATACGGGATCCCAAGCCAACCTAACATTCCATCCTCATCAGATCGGAGGTTAGTGTCAAGCTTGTCTGAGACGGACTTGTACAGAGTTGATGCCGTCGCAGTGAGTCGGGGCAGTGCCAGAAGGGGCGAAATGAGCTCGCCTCCAGCTAGAGCTTCTTACCAGTACGTGCGTTAGTGATCAATTTAGGAAGGGAGCACAGGGAGAATGCTGCGGGAGGGTTCCCTTTCGCCTACTGACTGCTCGATATCATTTATACAACAGCTGGCCCACGCTATTCCTTCTATAGTCCAAGTTGCTCGAAATGCCGCTGCGATTCCGAGTGGAAGTAGAGTGCAGGGGGCACCAATAGAGAGGACTCGACCAGTCGTCGAAGCTTTATTTTTTACCACCTCAAATGTCTCATATTAGAAATCATTTTTAAAAACAACCGCCGCCTAATTCCAGACTCTAGTCAATCATTGTCGTGCCTGTGACCAAGTAGTTTTAACGCTGTGTCAGCTCAGGAATCTTATTAATTAGCGAGCTCAATCTCCCGTGAACTACCATTTTTTTTTGCTCGAGATTTCAGGTATCTCACTCTTGAGGTGATACTTCGGACATTTTTTTCGCTAATGACTGAGCGGCTGATGATTGGTGTTTCCACATATTTTGCCACTTGAGCTGCGGGAAGAACAGCATTTGTCTGGAACGTGCTATAGAACGAACATCGACCAAAAGATCCCGCTATTTATAGCCGCTAGTTTGTCCTGCGCTCTGTTTGTCCTGATCGGGTACTATAAATTCGTTCGAAATCAGCCTCAAAAGTTTAAAGTGGTAATAGACCAAGAGTGGTAAGTGTAAAGACGACGTGAACGGAACATAACCTCGTCCAATCCGGGCAGTTTGATATAGGCGTCGTCAACGGGCCGCTGTCAGGAACTATTTGCTTTTTCCAGGCTAATTTAGTCATTTTTTCCACCTTGTGAAGATAAGGAGCTGCTAATCTGGGAAAAAGTAGCCAAAACAGTGAAAAGTTGGAAAAAATGACTAAATTAGCCTGGAAAAAGCAAATAGTTCCTGGCACGCGCTGCGGCCCGTTGACGACCGCCCTAATCAACTGCCCGGATGACGAGGGTATAATTGGTAGGTGATAATATAAAGGACAGCGCTATGAGCACATGAGGCCCACAGTATGAAAATGAGTGTTGATGAGAGCCGACGTGAAGCTCATGAGGAAGGGAAGGGTCACCAAACTTATAGTACGGCTCACAGTAGCGTGGGTCGTCAACTGGCATCAAGTGATAAAGGGGTGTGACGAAGTTATCACTGGTCAATCAAGCTTCTTTCTTCCACATATGAGCTTATTCAGCAGTGCAAGGTGTGAAAGCGGCCCTACATATGTTCGCGAGCAACGAAGCTCATTAGGCTCTCCTGTGGTCTGAATGGGATTAAGAGATGATTTGTCCCAAACAGTGGATAGTACCACCGCTCAGGAAAGCTCAGAAGCTGTGCCTCTCTTCCCCCTCCACGATCTACCAGTCCAAGTATTGAAGGGAAGTTTGGCTCCAGCTGGGGATCCAGTCTCCCATCAAGGTAGGTGAGGTGGGTCGCGCTTCTCTCCACTATTTCGCTTCTTCATTGAATCGGTTGTGATGTATCCACGAAACGGATCCCACTTGCCGTGGAAACAGCATTGCTGAAAGTGACGGAAAGGGAGTAGGGCCAACAAGTCGTTGGAAGAAGAAGAAAGTAGGGGCGCAGTTCAAACGACGGGGAAGGGGTCATTTTGCACTTTCATTACTCCGCTAGTTCCCGTTTACACACTACTTGAGAAATCTGTGAAGTCCTGTGAAGCTGGAGCAAGTTCATCAAGCCACTATGGTCAAACCTGTCAACTCACGAAAAGGCTCTCTAGATGGGTCGATAAGAAGTACCAAAAGTGCAAGATGACCCCCCCCCGGCGCCGAACTGCGCCGAAAGAGCGGTATATTCCCACATCTATACTTATTCTACGTAGTTGCTTTTCAGTTATTCGATTTTACGTGGAAAAACTATTTTGCATGTTGTACTACCCAACTCTTTATCACCATATCTCGTAGCACAACCAACCTACTCAAGTGTAGAATTCGTGGTAAGTGCGCCGGAAGGATCAGATAGAACTGATTCGTCGGTTTGAACTGGTCAATTAATTTGCCGTAAAAACGTCACAATCAAGCTGCTGGACCATGTGCCTGCTCTACAGCCTTGTTCGCCGCGGATAAGGGGCGTGTCAGGGCCGGCACCAGCTCGTTATTTACTTCCCACCGTCGACAACTGGTCAAGAACGACCTGGCGGCGCGCCAAGTCTGCCTCCAGCGCGTCTCAGGATATTTGTCAACCGCTAATCCTCCTTCCTTTTTTCTTGCTCCTTCCTTCTTTTTTCCTTGGCTTCTATGTTCTCTCCTCCTTAGCTCCTCTCGCTTCTGCCGGGCCTGTAGATGCCATGACAAAATACCCCTGGACTCTTGCAGCGAGAGCATGTCCTGTTGACAAGTGCCTTGTAACCCCCTCAGCGTCCACAGGGAACAAGAATATAAGCGCGTTTCAACTCTGCTTCGTGTCACGTATAAGAGAGGCTTCTACTTCGTGTCACGTACAGAGTGATCGATAGCTAAAAATCAGACCAGTCCAACAAGAACCTCACCTTGAATGCTTCTTTCGTGTTTTCGAAAGATAAGTCGAGATTTGAATAGCAGCGCTTAATTTCTTCTGCTAGTTCCGGTGTCGTTGGTTCAACCTTTTCTGGCAGTTTTTTCTGTGGCGCAGCTGAAATTTTCCATTCATGCGGTATAAAAAATGAAGGCGCTGATGTAGCACAAGAGCCTCTAAGACGTCACCCGCCATGAAAGAGATGACGTGTATTTGACGTCACGTACAACGTTAATGACGTGTCCTGGGACGTCATTGACAATGATGTGATACAGGTTTAGTTGTAATGGTAACAGGTAGCGGATCTGTGCTACATCTGCGCCTGCCTAGGTCGAGTGTTGACTTACCAGCCGACGCGCTGCGGACTACCCGCAGGAATGCCCGCTGCTGAACAGCAAGGAGGCGTAAGCCCATTCGATGGGAAGATTTAAGACGTCTGACGGACCCGAGATGAAGTCGAAAGCAGTGCCGGACAAGTGAAGTACAGGAGTATGGAAGTCACCGATGTTTCAAACAGTGGACGCTCACTGGAGGAGGTTAGCTGAAAATGAGAAATACCAGCTTCTTGATAAGGAACTGGAACAAAACAACTGCGAAAACTCAAAAATAAAGCCCACACTCCACTCGAGAAATCAAGGATGAAGTTCACTCCATATCCCGGAGGAGGGAGGGGCGTGGCTGCGCACTTCATGTAAACGAGGCGGCTATGTTTCCGGTGGGACATTGCCCTTCTGGAACGACCCTTTGTCCAGGACAAGAAGGGTGGCTGTCTCAAACAACTGTTACGCCAAAAAAGGTGTAATATTCTATGTCCAAATGAAGTACGCAGCCACGCCCCCCCCCTCCGATCTTCGAGAAATGGTGCAGAGTGTCATGGAACCCATGAGATGTCAATGCCTATAGCGCATCAAAGGCCTAGTGATTATTTTTGACTGCGGTAAGTGGTGTAAATCTACTAATGGTAGGAAGCATTAGCACATTCCGCGATTACCCAATGGGTGGAGCCAATGGGTTGTAGAACCAAGTCCGCCAAACCTTGAGACAACTATCTCTTTGTTCACCTTTCCGACACTGACTAATGACGGCGCCAGGGTGGTCAGAAGCCGGCTAATGCCACTTGTAGAAAAAGCCTACACTTCTGTGGACGAGATAAGTTGGCTGCCCTACAGTTACAGTCTTGTTTTGCAAATGCGGGTCAGGGCCGAGTTTGGCGCGGGGCCGACTTGTTTTCCAGCAATTGCGGAAGTTGAAGAAGTCCAAGCGGCCACAGTTGTGGAAGAAACAGGCTCGCGTACGCGCCAAATGTAGCCTCTGACAAGGCCTCTTTGCATAGGCAGCGAACAACAGCGCTGTACAGAAGATGATATGACGGTCTGTTCATCATTTTATAGGGATGCAGACTCTGTCTCATCGCTAATTCTTCCTGTTCTTCAAAGGCTTATAATCGCTGGTCTCTTGCCCGCAAAGCGTCTCGCACCTTGGAATATTCGTCTGCTCATGGGACGTTGATTGGAGATTCCCACAGCGATGCCCTTCCTTGTTTTCACTATTCAGTCATTTATTCTGCGTTCATACTTTGCTGCAGCGTCCACTAGTGTTTCGAGCGTCCAGCAACGTCAGCGACTGGAAAAGTATTGATATCGATCAATATACCAGCGAGCACCAGCGTCTCCCGGCGTCCGCCAGCGTTTACCAGCGTCCATCGGAGTCTTGAGGGCCTGGGAAGTACACTTTACATCACCGCAATTGTTGGGGCGCATCAGCGCTTCCGCAACCTGCGGTTTTCCATCATTGGTTGCTCCCTCCCTAAATCGATCTTTACCCGATCGCCATTGGTAGAGCAACGAGGCCGAACGCCCATTTGGACCGCGTTGCACAGCCGCCCTCTGGCAGTCCGCAAATGATGAAGACTGTATTAGGTATCGATCTATGTCTAGCGATGCCAGCATACGGGATAGGAGAGCATGGCGCGACAAGAGGTAGCAGACAACTGGCAGAGTATGGGGAGATAGGAAGGTGGCAGACTGCTAGTACAGAGTACTGATAGGGGGTACCAGCTGTGTGATACCCTGCTAACGGCGCCATACTCTTGCCGCCTCCAGAGCTGGTAGGTGCTGAAGTTGCCGCTCGCTGATACTACACGGGGGGGGGGGAATAAAAAAAGTCACTTTCCTTGGCGGACTAGGTGAAGATATTGCGAGACCAATGTGCGACATTGTCGAGCTGTCGATCTGTGGAAGGTCTTCAGATCAAAGACTACTGCGGTCTCCAGGTAACTATCCATGGGTGGCTCCATACCAGAAGTTCCGCAGGTGTCGTGAATTCCGGGTCTTCTCCAGTCATACTGCTACTGGAGATGACTTCATATTTTGGTGTACATGAAGTTGATGGGCGAGAGCCAGCTCCTGCTTATCGAGGAACATCTTGGGTATCTTCCGCCCTGGTACTCGTATCCACGTCCTCTGTCTGGGCTGCGAAAACTTTGCTGATATGTGACTTTTTTTTGGCCCCCCCGTATACTTCCCCAGGCCCTCGGGATGCTGGTGGACGCAGGCAGACGCCAGATAGATTAATTCTACGTTTTACTTCCCAGTCGCTAACGCTGCCGGAAACGCTGGTGGACGCTGCCGCAAGGTATGAACGCAATCCCATGAGCTCTCCATAGCTAAGATTCCGTTTCAGACTCAAAGTAGTTTTTTTGAGGATGCACCCCTCCATTTCAAAAAAATTGCGTGATGATTGTGGGCTGGCCGCGATCATAATTTGGCGTAGAATGCATTTTTCTTGGAATACTGCCATTTGGAGAAGCTCTCATCCTGTGTTTGGGCTAATGCAGGAATACAAGTGGTGATATCTTACCAAAAGCACACTCATGCCATGCTTAAGTTATGGCCGTGGCCATTCCCTATCCAATTCCAGGATATATGGGTATGTGGGATTATTTTCAGAATGCTCCTGACTTGAATATTTGGTTGACAATCCTTTTCTCTCAAGACAGTACTAATAGTATAGCGTGACTCAGGCAGCGTTCATACTTCGCGACAGCAGCGGCGATCGCGGCGACCTCGGCGATCGCCGCGATCGTCGGTACGTGGCAGAGCGCGCCCCAACGCTATTATGGACTGCTCGCTTGATAAATAAGGAAATCCAACTTGTGAGACCTTCTTTTCTCTTAATAATGGCTACTAACTGATAACTTACGACTTTCTATACATAAGCGGATCTGGAATATGAGGTAAGGAGGTTTCACTTCTTTTTAGGTCGGGATAAGGCCAACTCCATTTCCTGGGTGAGCTTCTTTTTTTTCTTTTTTTATTGTTTCAATTTATGCAAGCGCCTTAAAAGTTCCTATCGTCTGAACTGTTCCAACTTCCAAAACATTTATAGTTTACAAGTCGAGTTCAAACAACGAAGAAAAAAAAACAGAAACTCACCTAGGAACCAAAACACTAATCATTTTACGCAACATCAACAGGTGAAAACGTTATAACCTCATGTATAAGCTCGACGAATCGCGCTTTTTTGCTCATTTCTATCCTGAATCAAGAAAGAAAATAGAAAACAAAAGCCATTAAGTTGGGTTCACCTTCTTTGTGTCAAACCAAGCTTCAGTATCTAAGAAAATTGCAATTAAAGGAAAAAGCAGCAGAAACTGAGTTGCTTCTTCCCAAGAGCCTTTTGGAGCGGCAATTAAATACGCGTTGGGGCGCGCTCTGAGGCCATGACGATCGCGGCGATCGCTGCGTCAGGTCGCCGTGATCGCCGCTGCTGTCGCGAAGTATGAATGCTGCCTTAAAGGCAGCGCCTGCATTTATCGTTGTTCCCACGCCCTCTTTGGATATCGTAGCTCATCCCTATGAAGATGGTGTACGTACTAGTTTCGCAACTCAAAAATGCGAGAGAATAGCAGCACCGGCTCCGTGAAGGGTCCGGCCTACCCCTCCAACTTCATTTCTAATGGTTGCCTGATGGGTGCGGTTTTTCCGCTACTAACTCTCTCCATTTCGAATAGAGTGAGGTGATAAGGGAAAACAGCTGATACCAACAAGTGAGAACTCGTGCGGACGCTTCAGCGTGGGGTTCTATATAGGGCATATCCAATGATTTTTTCGCATTTTCCTTCACTAATGAACTACTTGCTACCTTGTTGTCACTACCTGAGCCTCAAAACTCATCAAATTGAACGCGGGTGCTGCCTTTCATGAAGGAACGGATGAATGAACATTGTGGAGGAGGATTCGGGAATCGAGAGTTCATCGCATGTAAAATGACATAAAACCAACAGTTAGGTGATGGAAAAGACTATAAAAGTCAGTAGTCGATACGAGTTCACAGAAAAACAACGAAAACACCAATACCACTTCAATTAATCATCTCACGTGCCTGTGAAGAAAATGTATTCGAAGTGTTGTAACATGAACGACTCGAGTGCTCAAGAAAACAGGGAAAGAACGACGAAAAGAAGGAAAGTGCACAACACCAGACGATAAATACCAATTTATCTGCAACCACATTTCGTGAATAACGACAGTAAAACCTTTGAGCCTAACAGTAGTAAAGCCGTAGGACCGAAAAGACAAGCTATGGCGCGTGTAGACCGGCCTCGACTTTTACTGCGCCTAGCATCGTACCGAGGAGCTTTCAATGTGCAATTTCTCATTTCACATGGTAAAAGATATGAAATGATACGAGAGAGAAAGTCCTCGAATGTTGAAGCTCCTTTTGCGAATGCGCGCACGCATCCCTGCTTGACATATTTGGGGGGTCAGCCGAGGTAAAAGTCAGTGTTTGTTATCCTCCCAGCAGATCTAGTACTTAATTTATTGTGCCAGGAGCATGGAAGAATACGTTGCCTAGGGAAGGGAGAAACGTTGATAGTCGAGCAAACGTGGTAAGAAGTGCCACTTACCACTACACCACCTCCGCCTCAAGGATACAAGGAAGGAATAAAAAAGTAAAACGCAAGAAATTGAAGAAAAAAAGAGAACGGGAAAAAACTTTTAAACGACGCTGGCTTCTCCGCCGCAGAGATGGGATCGGTTTGTTTGGTCAATCGGATCAATACTTGAACCCTACCTCAACCAAGCAAGTTGACTTACAAACTATAGTACGGCTGTCGAAAGAAACGCAAATATGCTTAAATAAAATCGTTAGAAATTTGAGATTAAAAACTGGTTGGCTACTAGTGATAAGGTTGAGTTATGCACACTTTGTAGCGTAGGGGGTGATTTGCAGGGTTGAAACTCATTGGGTGTGGGGGTTTTCGGAACGCCAGGGCGCGCAAGTATGGCCTTTTGTAATCGGACAGTCAAGCTCTGAGTTTCCCAAAATCAAGTGAAAAGAAAAGAATGAGAAAAGGTAGAAGTCCCGTAGACCATTTCAGGCTGATCCTTAGACCTATTCTGAAAAAAGCG